CACGAAACCCTTCTGAGCTGAAAGGGAAGTTCATTCACACCAAACTGAGGAAAAGCAGCAGGGGGTTCGGTTTCACCGTTGTCGGAGGGGACGAACCAGATGAGTTTCTTCAGATAAAGAGTTTGGTTCTCGACGGCCCTGCTGCTCTGGATGGCAAAATGGAAACAGGTAAATTGATTGTCCTAGGGACAAAATGGCTACTCCATTTCCCTTGCATAATGTTAATCATGCAGGAGTCTTGGAGCCCATCTGGTCCTCTGTGTGACTGTGCCTACGTGCGGTAAGTGCTAGGGAGTGCCCTGAACATTTATTTTTCTTTCTTTTATTTTAAACATTTATTATCTGCCTTTCTTGCTTACAGAGCTCGAGGTGGTTATATGTTGTTTAGTTTTGTTCTGGGCTCGCCTTAGCCACAGGGCCTCAGCTTGAGGAGTGGGTGGGTGGAATGGGAGATTATAGACACACACTTTTTCCTTGGTCTGCTTTTACCTAGGTTCTATCAACCCCCCCCCTCTCTCTCTCTCTCAGTCGCTGTCTCTCTGGATCAGGAGGCCGAAAGCACAAGGGAGTTTAATTAGCTCCCTGCAGGCCCTGCAGTGGCATTCTTTCCCTTCTGTCCTGCCCAATGATGGCTGGAGTGGCAGGGGGGAGGGGGATGGCAACTGGCCCAACACCAGTGTCCCTCTAAGCTGAGTTAGTGTGAGCTAGCTCAAGGTTTTTTAGCCTCTGGCTCGGGAAGGATGGCTCCAGAGCAGACTAATTTCTGCAGTAGCCAGATTGCCTGCTCACAACTTTAATGCCAGTAGCTCACAAAGTAGAGCTTTTGCTCACAGGACTCCGCAGCTTAGAGGGAGCACTGCCCAACACTCATTTTTGTGTGTGTGTGGTAGTCATGTCCGTGCCATGGTGACGAATGCAGTCACTCAGCTGAGTGGACTGTCTGGAGGGCTTTGCCTCTACACAGGCCATTTTTCCAGGCCCCTCAAACACCGCAACATCCATCTCACTTGTGGGATCTGCCCCACGAGGAGCAGGGTCATGAGGAGGAGGGAATCCCAAACAAAGTCATTGCTTCAGCTTTTTATACCTCGGAGACCTTAGGGCAAACCCAACTTCATATGCATATGTGCATCTTCCATTCTGAGAGAAGCAAGCCTACATCTGGCCTTCTTCCTGGCATGCCCCACACAGCAGGTTGGGAAGTAGCTGGTGATGAGTGAGTTTTTTCAACTCTCGCCTCAGTCTAAAGGATCCAGTTCTATATATGCAGGAGATCCTCTGAGCTCCCTGTTTGTGGTGCGCCCCATAAGGCTAAACAAGCCACCCCCAACATTAATGATAAGACACTCAGTGCAGTATGAGGACCCCTGATGTAGACTTGCAAGCTCTGGAGCATATCTTAAAGGGTTTGTTTCGTTTGTCATCCAGCAATCTGGAGAGAGAATCAGAATATTACAAAAGAAAGACCGAACAGTTAACACTTTGGATAAGACTTAAAAAATTTTTTTTTTATTTTTTTACACTTGCTTTGCTTGAGGGCAGAGATCCCCAGCTTTGTTGAGCTTGTGGGCATCTTTGCAACTCTGATAGAGGGTGGAAGGCACAATCACAAAATGCTGCAGGAGGTGAAGATGGTTCCTGGTGGTTCCAGGTCCCAAAGAGGCCAGACTAGCAGCGACTAGGGCTAAGGCTTTTTCAGTGGCGGCTCCTACCTGGTGGAATGAGCTCCCAGAGGAGATCCGGGCCCTGCGGGACCTTGCACAGTTCCGCAGGGCCTGCAAGACGGAGCTCTTCCGCCAGGCGTTTGAGTAGGAGCCGCCACGACTGTTACCATCTGCCTACGACTATTACTATTTGTCCTAGCCCTTATTACCAACTTGCCGTGAACGCAAAAATGGTGGTACTGCGTGGAGCTGTGACCACTAAGGATACCATCCTGATGACGTCATCTGTTCCCTTGTTAGTTGTTGTGGAGAGCACTTATGTTGTACTGAATGTTTTTAAAATGCTGTTTTAATGTTTTATGTATTGGGCACTGGCCCCATCTGTACGCCGCCCTGAGCTGGTTTGCGGGGAGGGTGGGTTATAAATGTAAATAAATAAATACAATAAAAGATGACAGCCAGATGTAAGGGAGCAAGGTTATCTGTAACTCTTAATAGTAACTGCTTAGCATTTCAGGCAGAATCTCTGTATCTGCACAGCCAATCAGAAGCTCTTGGCTCTACTGGGCAAAAGCCCCACCTAGGCCTGCCCACTTTCTGAAAGCACCTGGGCAGCAAGAAAGGTGTTCATGGGTGCCATGGTGCCCACAGGCACCATACTGGGGACCCACATGATGTAAAAATGTTCACCTGCAAATTGAGTTCAGTGTGCGAGTGGGGTGAGCAGAGAGGAAAAGTGTAAGGAATTTTGCAGTGTGCCGGAGACCCCCGTTAACCACTTGCAGCGTAAAAATCTGCCCATTGTGTTTTAGCGAACCTGTTGCTCTGAGTGCTGCTGACTCACCACTAAGCAAGCTTTGTGTGTCCTCCTTTCCTATTCTCACTATCACCGTTCCTTTGGATTGCCTAGCACAGAATACCACTGTCCAGTTTGACTCACTTTGTCTCGCATTTCTACCTGTTCAGTGCTCAGTGCAGACTCAGTGATGGTTATGAAGATTAATGAAATAAGCACACTAATCATCAATAAAACACAACGAACATGTAAACAAATGTATTAAAAGTCCACTGAAGGCTCACCTAAGTGAAAACGTTTTACAGCACCGAAAGAAAGATCTTGTGATGAATCTGCTCAGCTATCCGTTCTCTGGGACAGGATATTGAGCAGGACCACTCTTTTAGATCTTAAGGGACTAGGGAGCTGTAGGATAGAGGGATAAATGCACAGAACATTTAGGGTTTTGCTTGGTTTAATAATTTTCGGTAAGACAAACAGTGATGTGAATCCCCCCTGGCTTTGTTTGGAATTAGTCTGGCACTTACATGTGACTTTGGAGAATGCTCTGCCAAAACAGGATGTCTCCCCCCAGTTCTCAGTTCATTTGTAATGGTGACCTCTCAGTGCCCCCTTGCCTGGCAGCTACCAGTGCTTCAGTGGCTGCAGGAAGGGTAACTCGCTCACTCTCTTCTCTCTCCATGGTGCCTTGAACAAATCCTTCTGTGGCAGCATCCCAGGCCTCAGGGACCCAGAGAAGCATAGTTTTCCCAGGATGCCTGACATGCATAGTAGAGAAGTCAAATGCCATGGGGAATCTGTTCCTTTGAGCACCTAAAGCATAGCAGCGTTCCAGGACCCAGGGAGGGGATAAAAGAGAGAGACAATCTCACTCTCTACCAATATTACCACAACTAAGAAGAAAAGTTGGTTTTTATACCCTGCTCTTCATAATCTGAAGGGGTCTCGGAGCGGCTTACAATTACCTTCCCTTCCTCACAAAAGACATCCTGTGAGGCAGGTGGGCTGAGAGAGCTCTGAGAGAACTGTGACTGGCCCAAGGTCACCCAGCAGGCTTCATGTGGAGGAGTGCGGAATCAAACTCGGTTCTCCAGATTAGAGTCCACCCCTCTTAACCACTGCAGCAAGCTGGCAGCAGTCTAGTAAGAAGACTTAAAAGGGTGTAGTACGAGTTGTTGAGGTTTGTATAATAAATCTGGAATTACATATTTCAGCAATCTCACTAGCCTTTTCTGTATGAATTACATTGATGTGAGAGCCAGCCTGGTGTAGTCATTAGAGTGTCCAATGAGGATTTGGGGCACCCAAGTTCAAATCTTTATACTGCCATACAGCTCACTAGGTGATCTTGGGCCAGGCTCATACACTCACCCTAACCTACCTCACAGGGTTGTGGTAAGGATAAAACTGAGAAAAGGTTTCCTATGTACAGGGTCCTGAGCTTCTTGGAGGAATGGTAGGATAAAAATGTATAAAATAAAACATATATGTATAATTTATAATTCCACCTTTCTTACATTAAGGAATAGAAGGTAGCATACATTGGCAACTTAGGACTCCCTTCTAGGCACTCATCAGGCCCAGATCTGCTTTGTTATACCCTCCAAGCATATCCTAAGCCCAATATATATTTTTTGCCCTTGAAGGGGTGAAGTGTGCCATAGCTTAAAATGTACTTGAAATCTATGATTTTCCATATCATCCTGTGTAGCTGCTTATCTGAGTGGCCATTATTAGCAGTAATCAGCAAGAAAATATATCTCCTTATTAATAAAAACGATTTGGGGTGGCAAAGTTCTATTCATGCCAAAATCAGTTGGCCACCTACACTGCCATTCCAAAGGTGCTGCCTACATTGGCTGGCTGCATTGTGGGGTCCCGCCCACACAAGCCCCGGCCACCAGCTTGCGCGGGACAGCCCCCCCCCATCTTTCTAGCACCCGTTGCCTTCTCCCTACAACGGACTTCCCTCCTAGTATTCCTATATTTTTCATTTTATATATACACAAATTAATTCTGCTGTTACAGCCAAAGCTATAAATCTCTTAGAGAAGCATCCTTAAAACAACTAGGATCAGTATCTAAAAGGATAAAACATATTGAACAATTTCTAATCAGTATTGTGGAATACCTAATAAGTCCATTGCAGTCTATTGAAGTCTAACCAGTTATTTCTAATAATTAAGAACTAGTTCCGCCCTGACTTGGATAGCCCGGGCAAGCCCAATCACGTCAGATCTCGGAAGCTAAGCAGGCTAGTATTTGGAAGGGAGATCTTCAAGGAATGCCGAGGTCATGATGTGGAGACAGGCAATGGCAAACCACCTCTGAACATCCCTTGCCTTCAAGGCCCACTCGGTGTCACAAGTCAGCTTGACTTGATGGGGGGGGGAGGAATTAGTCCCCCCCCCCCAAGGTGCTTATCCCCTATCAACCATTCCATATGCTGAATAAATAAGTTGGTCACTTATTATCTGCCATGATTCTGAGGTATTTATAGTGATTTCTATAATGAAGCAATTTAAAATCAGTATTTTATATTGACCTCACTGCCAAATAGAGATGAGAGATTGAAGGTAGGAGAACTAACACCATTGGTAAATCACTAAGTTTCGATCTAGGTCCTTGTCCAGCATTTCGTCCACTAGACCCCACCACCTAAGTTGTCATTTGTACAAAATTGTATTCTAGACTTAGGTTCTTTCTTATTTTGTTGTTCTTCATAAGCCAGTTGTTTACCTAAACTGAAGAGTTGTCATAGGAATGTACAAAGGCAGTTAATAGTAAATGGACCATTTAGCATACTTCTGATTTTGTTATATTTTTTTTTTCACTTTTTGGGAAAACTGAGCAGTCCCTGTGTCTGTATGCATGTATAATATCTGTATTGCTGACAGTCACACAAGGCAGAAGCTGGAGTTCCATATGTAAGTTATGATATGGATGTAGAGGTGGGCATTTTTGTTTAAATATTTTTTTAAAAATTAAAATCCACTGGGTATCAATTTGGTACATCTATCGGATCATCACTTGAAAAGGGGGGGGGTACAGTTGCTCTGTTCTTTTGCTGAATGGCAACAGCAGAGTAATGGGTTCCTGAATTGTCAGAGACAGGAGGAAATCTTTCATAGAAGACTAACTGTAGATACTTGATAAAGTTTCTGAATATGCTGATGAGAGGTGCTGAGACAATAATCTTGAATGTGTAATTTCACTTACTTTTTCAAACAATTTCTTCCATAGGGGATGTTATTGTCAGTGTGAATGACACATGTGTGTTGGGCCATACACACGCGCAAGTTGTGAAAATCTTCCAGTCAATTCCCATTGGTGCCAGTGTGGACCTAGAACTGTGCCGAGGCTATCCTCTGCCTTTTGACCCAGACGATCCTAACACAAGCTTGGTGACATCTGTGGCCATTTTGGATAAAGAACCAATCATTGTGAATGGGCAGGAAAATTACGACTCTCCAGCAAGCCATGGCAGTAAAACTGGGAAAGTAAACGGGATGAAGGAGCCAAGGCCTAGCAGTCCTGCCGAGATTTCTTCGAATGGATCCCATGGCTACCCTAACGACACCGTCTCTTTGGCTTCCTCTATAGCAACGCAACCTGAACTCATAACTGTACATATAATTAAAGGGCCCATGGGCTTTGGTTTTACTATAGCAGACAGTCCCGGGGGCGGGGGACAGAGAGTGAAGCAAATTGTTGACAGCCCAAGGTGCCGAGGCCTAAAAGAAGGGGATCTTATAGTCGAAGTCAATAAGAAGAATGTGCAAAATCTTACACACAACCAAGTTGTGGATATGCTGATTGAATGTCCTAAAGGAAGTGAGGTGACACTGCTCGTGCAGCGAGGAGGTAAGTGTGAAGTGTTTTACTTAGTCTTTATCGCCAGACAACACTATTAACTTACAAAGGACCTATTTAAATACACATAGCCAACTACGTGGCTGAAAAATGACAGCCATTTGCTCTTCAAGTAGCAAAATATGATAACAACAAAAAATGGAGTGGGAGTAGGTCCCTCAGTTCTACTTTGTTGATATTTCATGGGTTTCCTCATGCTTTGAGTTCTTCTCAGGTTGTTATTTAGCAAAAAAAAAAAAAAGGAGTTTGGAAAGCTGATAACGCAACAGCACTTTTCTGCAACAAAAACAACAAGAACAAAAATCAGAACTAAACAGTTTCATTGGGATATTTTTAAAAAAATGTCTTTTGTTGCATAGGTCTCTAGAATACAACTCTGGAAGAATCCCAGAGTCCAGCATTTTGAATTTTGATCCAGTAAAAGTTTTCAATATTATGAAACTCCCTAAAGATAGTGAGAAATCTGGCAGAGGAGGATTTCGTAGGCATCACAATTTAGCATATGCTAAGTAATATTTTTAATTGATGAAAGAGAAATGGTTTACAAGTCCACTGCTGAGATTTGTTTCATAGTGTACTTTAAGCCTTGTGTTTGATTTTTAGTCATTTATACCAGCACATTAGGAGCTGCGGTGGCTCAAGTGGTTAAGACGCTGAACTGCAGGCTGGAAGGTCGGTAGCTCAGCAGTTCGAGACCCACATGACGGAGTGAGCTCCCATCTCTGGTTCCAGCTCCTGCCATCCTAGCGGTTCAAAAGCAAGAAATTGCAAGTAGATAAATATTTATTTATTATTTATATTTTTATCCCGCCCTCCCCGTAAGCTCAGGGCGGCTTACACGGCGTTCCGCCGAATCATAGTAAAACAGTAAAAGCATTAGAAATATTAAATAACATTAAATATTAAATATTAAAACATCTTACATTCAGATAATATTTGGTGCTCACTTCCTAGGGACAGGATGGTCGTCAAAAACCCGTTCTCTTCCAGAATACCCACATCATGATGGCCTGTCCACAAAACTTGGGGCATAGATGGTACCATGGTGGTGGCTGCTGAAAGTAACAGCGTTCTGAGCACCTTGGCATTTAGTCATGCAGGTCACATGACCATGGAAACATCTTCTGACAGTGCTGGCTGTTCGGCTTGGAAAAGGAGATGAGCACCGCAACCCTAGAGTCGGATTCGACTGGCTTTCGAGCAAGGGAAATCTTTACCTTTACCTTACCAGCACGTTAGGAAAACAAAATAGCACAGAGTAGTAATATTCCCAGAAATAACATAACAAATGTTGTACAGAAATTGATACATTTATTAGAATCACAGTTGACATTTGAACTTCCTCATAATGGATCGTGAATATGATGAGGCAATCTGATCAGGAACTAGAAGTATCTGGTACTGATAAGAAGCTGAAGTGGTCAGTCAGCTGCTTTTTTATTAATAAGTTTCATTTTTATTTTATCGTTGGAACCATTTCAGTTGATCATCTTATTGCAGATTCACAGGAAGAGAATTGCTGTGACCTTGCTTCAGTCCCTGTGCTTAACTTTCTCCTTGCACACTGCAGTTGCCTGACATTTCGCTTCTAATTACTTTTTCAATTTAACATATGATCCTAGTACCTTGTTGGGTGAGGGAGGGGCCACTGACCCCCAGGCTCCATCTAGCTTTCCCACAGCATACAGCTCTAACCGGAACTGAGCTGGATAAAAGGAAGCTGCATGTCCTCAGAATCAGCTGGCATGTTCTCACACATACACACTCTTTAGTCACTAAACAATTTTCCTTTAAAGCAGGGGTCCTCAACCTTTTTGTTCCTGTGGGCGCCTTTGGAATTCTGACAAAGGGTAATGGGCACAATTACAAAATGGCTGCCACAAAATGTCAAGGATCAATAATAAGAGAGACTGCCGAATTGCAATTGATAATGAAGCTCAAGACAATGCATCCACCTGGATTGAATCAAGTCCTAGGTTTCCTGTCTCATTACCAATGCTGATTTCTCCACACCTACTACCACTCTGCATATCACACCTAAATCCAATCATGCCTGCTATTGTCATTCAGGAACAGAATGGAAAGGGAAATTGCTGAATTACAAGTTATTACAACTCTTGGAACAAAAACCTCCCCAGGTCTCAACAGGGATATTGGATTTTTATCCCATTACATATGCTAACTCATTCAGTCCTGATGTATGTATTCCCAACAAGAAGGGACTATAATTCCTCTGTATTTTAGTGTACTTCTTTTTCAGAATAGTATATTAGAATACTGAATGGATGTCTGCTGACAACATTACATCCAGCTCGAAATATACTGTTGTGCCCTTCACCCACCATCCACACCTGAGAGGAGATCATTAAGATTTTTTTACTTCCCACAATTAGAAAAAACACCTTGTTATTTAGTTTTTTACTTTGCAAAACATGTAACAGCATCATGTTACATGTTAATTTGCTGTTAAACCCCTGTCTATAAGTTTAGAACCTCTTCTACCATTCCAATGTATTTGAAAAAGTATGCTTTGCACATGAAACCTCATACCTTTGTTGGTCTTAAACATGCCACTGGACTGTATCATCTCTTAATATATCACAAAAGATATTGCACAACCCCTTTATTAATATCTAACATAGGTCCAGATATCTTCCTGTTTCAGTGTCTTCCTCAGGGAGTTCAACAGATATTTCCAAGCACAAAGTTGCCAAATACCAAAATATTTATCCAATTTTTTTTCAATGAACGCTGCAAAAAGTCTCTCTTTGTGAGCTCAAAGCTTCCTCCAAAGTGAAAAGCTTTGTTGGAGGAAAACTGAGCCCTTATTCAAAATAGACTTAAAGGAGTCCTCCCGCTTAAAAGTTTTGTATAATTAAGGAGGACTGATATTAATAAAGGGGTTGTGCAATATTTTTGTGATATATTAAGAGATGATACTTGGATGTTATATGATTCTTTCTATGTATTAAGGCTTATATAAATAATATAGTGAATAAATTGTAAAAATATAAAAACAATTATTTGAGATATTTTATAATCATCTGTAGCATGGTATTTGCTGATTTTTGGTGCTTCAGTCCAACACAGCTGACTACCTGGATCTACCTGTTATTGTCATTTGCTGCTAATGTCATTTGGCATCTGAAATCACTTCACTTTCCAATAAATAGGACAGGTGGACTCCCATTCTAACAGTATCTGAAGAAGTAAGCAGTGACTCACAAAAGCTCATCCCGTGCCACATGTTTTGTTAGTCTTTAAGGTGCTACTGGACTTTTTCTCTCTTCTGCTGCTACAGACAAACTAACATGGCTACCCATCTTGATCTGTCTAATAATAATTCTTCAACATTTCAGGCAGAAGCTCTGTTTAACAGGATACCTTTCAGTCTGCACAGCCAATCAGAAGCTCTGCTGGGAATAGCCCCCCCCCCCAGCCCCTGACCTCATTTTTCTGCCATGCTTTTCCTGTTCCCATAGGGTGACTTCTTAACTTTGTGGTCTGCAAGATAGGTTGTGCATATCTTCAGAGCATCTGCCATTGGTAGTCTCATTCTTTTTTATTCCTGCTTGTGTAATGCCCGTGTACCCTTGTCATAGCCAGATCACTTTCAAAACTGGTTTGCACGGTAAAATGTTGAAGGTCGTCTGGCCAGTGTCTCATAACCACTGCAGTAATGATCCCCTCCCTGCCTTTGCTTTCCATCCTGCTTGAAGAGACAGAAATTTCTTATTTGACTCATGGGAAATCCCCCCCCCCCCCAAAGACGGTCCACATGAACATTGGGGAAGTCTCCTTATAATGACCCACCTCTAAAAATATGTGAGCGTGGAAGTCTGAGGGGGGACCTGTATCATTGCAGATTTTAGATGTGTAAAGAGTGTGAGTGGAGAAAAGATGTCAGCCTTTTTTGTATCTGTATCACGGTCTTGACATGAAGGGAGATAAAAAAGACAGCATGGCCTACTAGCTACTGAGAGGGGGTGCCCAGAATATGATCTGGCATAGGGTCAGGTTTTTTGGTAAATGGAATACGTTTACAATACCTCCCAAGTCAAGTCTGAATGCTTTCAGTTATTTTCTAGATTCCTTTATTTACGCCTGCAGTGGCCAGATGACTCAGGGTTTTTGTACCACTTGGCAGATCCCAGTTCTCATGCAGAGCTGTAAAAAGCAGTGCCTCCTCTTCTCCATGACTGTTAAAATGATAGGAGTCCTGTTCTCCTTTGCAACTGTTATACCTATTCCTTTTGGTCCCAGATTACAGTGTGTACTTTGCTTCCAGAAATGTGTTTTGTCTCCCAAAGTATGCTCGTAAACTCTGTGCATATGCCGACGAAGGTGGCTCTGGCGGTTGCCTGTCTCTCCTTCTCCCTCTGGTGTCCGGAAGAGAGAGTGCTGGGAAAAAGTCTGCTGTCAGGCATTTGTTTTATTAAGAAGCCTCTTCGCAGTGGCACAAAGGCTGGTGTTCGGAGTGGTTCAAAGGATTTGTCAGTAGTGGTTACTAATCAGGCAGGCAAAAAAAAAAATCATAACAATATGAAATAATGTATGTGAAAAACTACGCCAGCTCCCAGCCAGTGGCATATTCTTTGCAATGACGCTTATCTATTAAAATGCAAGACACAAAGCCAGGGAGAGGGAGAAGCCTGTGAAATATTTACCATAACGTATCTTCAGCTGGAACTCTGACTTGTGATAATTGGATCGCTTGTGCCAACAGAATCTTACAGCTGGTGCTAGGTTAAGGGACAATGGAGCTGTCAAATAAGGGAGAGAGTTTATTCGGGGGGGGGGGAGAGATCAGCACAAAGTAGTTTGCGCTACAAAATAAAACCGTAAAAACCTCCATTATTTGGTGTTTTAAACTTATGCATAGAATCAGGCCTGAGTCATGTACTGTGAGAAGCACATTAAGCTCCTTGAAAACAGAACTTCATGGGCCCTGCGTTTGTGGAACAGTTTCCCAAAATGAAGTGTTTGGAAAT